CATCAAGACGACAAGCTCGAGCACCAACTGCAAGCTCCAAAACCACCAGTGACACATCACCAGGGGGGGTGAAGCCTCAGATTCGTTGGAGCCTTTTCAATTGTTTAGGGATTACGGTTTAGGGTTTATGCTCTCACAACTCGGACAAGCCGGGGTTTAGGGATTAGGGTTTCGGGTTGATGCCCGATGGCCCGAAGGCATCAAGCTCTCCAACCCACCGACACCCTTCAAAGTCCCATGGGCCGTGGACCCTGAACTTGAACTTAGGAGCCTAGACCCTACTTGTAGCCCCCTAAGCCATAACTACTCTCAACCCTAAACCCCTAGATTGAACCCTAAACTCTCAACCCCAAACCACAAGCCCCCAAACTAAACCCGTGAACCCGCCCGACCCAGAACTGCCAATTCTCCGGACCTCTCAGCGCGTGAAACTGCACGCTGCGGATCAGACCACCAGCCTGAGGCGAAGGTCTACATAGCCAGAGAGGGCTTGGGGGGCAGGTCTTAGGCTTTGTGCTTGAAGGCTTCAGGGTCTGAGGGTTTAGGGCGGCTTCATGTCATTGTGACAAGGCCATGAAAATAAGTCCCATAAAAGGCCATTCCCAAATCTAGCTTTGGGTCTAAACCCTCTCTGCATCTTAAAATAACTGCTCTCCCGGCCTGGTACCAGTCGTACTTCGGCTGATGGACCTCGACAGTTCTGGCATGAGGCTCCACAGGACAGAGCGCACTTTGGCCGGGCACAAACCGCGGCCTGAGATTGAAAAGCCTGCAATCTGCAAATAAAGCAGCTCAGGTGGCCGGGTGGGTTGTCATGTTGAAGCTGTTGTCTGCAATAACCAGGATCCTCCGCCGCCCCTCGACGCTGGGAAGCACCTTCAGCGTCGATAGGCTCGGGGTGTAGCAGGTAGCAGCTTGCTGCACAGCGAGCAGCTCTGGTCAGACCCTAAGCCCGCAGGAAGTGTACTTTCTGAACGCGAGCCGGACTGTCCTGTCCTGTAGATTATTGAAACCGGCCTCCACCTCAAACGGCGAGAGGCCAGCGTGGTCCGCAAGGAGCTCACCTCATGGCTGGAGCAGCAAAACCAAGGCTTCACTGGCCCCACGTACTCTGCCAGGAACAAGCCGGACAAGTATTCAAGAGTCTCAGTGTACTCTGCACACAAACAGGGTTCAGGGTGTCATAGCAAATGGTCCCGGCATTGTGTTGGGCAGAGTCTGCTAAATGTAACTGCGAACACCCGACCTAAACCCTGAACCGTTATATGAATTGGAAGCTCATCAGGTTGCCGGAGTGACGTAATTCAGGCGTGCTCAGCTGAGTTATTTGTCTTTTTGCCATGAGGGTTCGCACTGCTTGCTAAATGTACAGCATGCTACAGCACCTGCTGCAACCCCACTCAACCCTGAACCCTGGAATCCAGGCCCCCTTAACCATGAAGCCCGACAAAACCGGAAGCCCAAACTCCGTAAACCCGAACCGCCCTGATTCGTGCACAGGGCGCCGTCCACGCGGACGAGGCAGCGGTTGGTGCAGGCGGCGAAATGCAGGATGGCAGCTGTGTTCGGCGCGGCCTTCGGCGGTTCAGTGTTTAGGGAATCCAAACCCTCAACCCTTTTGGGTTTGGGCGTTTCGGGGTGCAGGGTCAGGAGTGCGGATCTGGTGTGAAGGAAAGGCTGACGATCTCCTTGCGGCCTTTGAACGAATTCGGCTCCAGGAACCTGCCTGCCTCGATTTTCCAGGCCAGTCAGAGCCGAAGCTGTGGCTGTGGAAGAACCCAGAGCTCACCCACTACCTTCCCAGCCAGACATCTCGCAAGATGCCATTCAACTGCTGTACCTTGCCCCAGACTCGCAACCCGCGGGACTCTTGGGAGTCTCGCTGCCCGAAGACTCCCAGCTTTGCCTCGACCTCCGTTTGGTACAGCGCCGTGCCACGGCGCAGTCGCAGAGGGTCTGGTCTGCAGCAGGCCTCAAAGCCTCACAGAGTTCAGAGTGGGACACTTACTAGAGGGCCAATTTCGGTCTTGGACTGAGGAAGGGGGGGGCAATCCGGGAGTAACTTTTGCGATTGTTCTCTGCACTTCTACTTCACTCGCGGCGCATGCCAGGCGAAGCGTCTGGAGGTTTCGACTCACACACTCGCTTGTCGTCTGGAGGTTCAAGGGTCCGCATGCCAACCACTCATCATTGCACGGGTCCCACACACATAGATGGGTACAGCAACTAGGCCTACATGAGGTCAATCCCCAAAAGCTCAACCGACCGAAAGCAAAGTGTTGAGATGCCTATACCATCTCGCGTCGTGTCGCAGCTTTTCACATCCATGTCTAAAGCATCAGTAAGCAGCCTTGCCAGTGTTGACCTTGCTCGTAAATCCAGACGCCATCCAGATACCTGCCGAGCTTGCAGGAGCCACATGGAGAGCAAGACAAACTCTACGTCTCCAGCCATGTCCCTCTGCGACTCCCGCTTTGCACAATACGAAGAGGCTGAAAGCCGCATGATGCCGCATGTGTCTCTAACACAGCGATTCAAGCGCACAGTGGCTCAATCCAATAGGCCCTCATGGAAACCCAGGCCGCTCAAGCCTAATCCACTCGAATAACCTACAAAGCCCCTACAGAACGACCGCCTCCGATCGCCCCAGCACTCGGGGTCGCCCCGATGGCCCAAACTTCGATCGCAGCACCTTTCGCACTGCTCCCGTGCCGGCCAACCTTTGTTGGGATTTGGGGCGTACGGCTTTCAACGAAGGGTATATCTTGGTTTATCGCTTCGGCTAGGTGTTAGGTCTGTTGTATCTTGTGCCGCGTTCTTGGGATTGAAGTCACGAGTCTGGGCTTTCGACATTTAGGTGGAGGGGCATTCATTCTCTGTGCGAGGGGCTTCGAGTTTACAGACTTTCGTTTAGGGTTCAGGGTTCCATGGCCCGGAAACACGGGTTCAAGGTTCAGCACACCGCCATAGGTCACACTCACAAATGCAAAGGTATACCCAGTATATCCTGCTTTCTGGCGGTGTCTTACACAACGTTTCTGGGCAGAATCCTGGCATATTCATCTCTGGAAGCACGAAACCCCTCCAATCCCGAACCCCCAACCCTGCACCCTGGACCCTCACCTGACAGCCTCCTACTATCAACGCCGCAGAATGCTTCCCGGTGTCTGGCTCAAAGCCCTCCTTGCAGCCGGCATTCTCGTCTCCGGGCACTAAACCCTTTGGCCCTGATACCTTAAAGCCAAAACCCGTAAACCCGAAAAACCCTAGACCCTAAAGTTAACGTCCGAAACCCTAAAGCAGCCCTACAGTCCTAAAGCCCTGAAACCCAGAGCCCTGAACCCAAAGACCCCAAGACCATTAACTTACCCCTAAGACCCCCTTAAAAAGCACCAAACCCCCCGAACTCAAGCCCTAAAACCCGAAACCTTAAAGCCCCGAACCTTAAAACAACCCCGAAGCCTGGGCCAAGGTGCAATCGCAGTTCGGATCGTTCGGCCGCAGGTCGAAGGCGTCGGGGACTTCCACGAGCCTCCGCTCCAAAGACTGGGCTTGGGCCTTAGAGCCTGGGCTTTTTGTTTCAGGCGATTTAGGGTTTAGGGTTTAGCGCCGGTTACCCAAGCCTCTGGTTTCGGTTTTAGGGTTGGGGGTGCAGGGTTTTGGGGAGCGTTCGGCTCTTTCCGCAGATTTCCCAGGAAAGGTTTATTAGACGGGCGCAGCCATGCGAGGTCGCCACGGTCTAGGTTTTCGAGGGTTCTAAGATCCGGTAAAGTTTGGGTCCAGCCTCGGCTTCAGGGTTTTTGGGCCTTGCAGTTGTCCGAATCTTAAACCCCGTGAAGCCCTCGGCCCTTGCTTCACCCGAATTCTCCGTTTTTTGATCTTGGAGGCAGCCGGCTCTAAATTGTGACCGATGGCTTCGACTTGGATTGGTAGACTATTTTTGTTTGTTATGTGTATTTCTTCTTGTCCGGAACGCCCTCAGGCTGTACGCATTGGCGAACCCACGGCCGAGGGCAGAGGACAATTACAAGGCCTCACAGTATCAGCCCCTGTCACGTGAATCGAGCCACCGAAACCCCCTATGAGCCCAAAGAAGGAAAGCAAAGGCCCAGTAGCTCCCAAGCATCCGGCTCGGGCAGTGGCCAGGCAGCAGGGTCCTCAGGATCGAAATGGAAGTTGCTTGCGCACCAGTGTCACGAACGCTCTGAAGACTTGCCACTACCGTTATGATGATGGGTACTATTCACGCTATTGCTATAATTACAGGAACCCGTTTTCCACGAGTCGCCACGCGGGGCTTTGATAAGGGTAGCAGCAGGGTGGCCCGCAAGTATGCGTAATCGCTTGACGCCCTATATAACCCCTGAACTCTTGCGTGCGAACCTGAAGGCTCCAATGTTACATGCCTAGACCCCACCTTCCCAACACGAATCGTGTCCTGCTGGCCGAGGAAGGCAAAGGCCCAGGAGCCATTGAGAATGAAGACCTGTCGGGGGCAGAGCCTCTTTTTTTCAAGCTTTGGGGCCGGAGGTTTTGGGGTTTGGGATTGAAGAGTCGGAGACATTCGGAGTTGAGGCGTTAGAGGGAGGGCTTTCGTGTGTCGGTGAGGACGGAGAGGTTCATGACGGCGGTGGCGGCGAAAAAGATGGTAGCGACTGGCAGTGGCTACATCCTGGCGGGCATCATGAGTGCAGTTGCCACAGATGCCGGCCTCTGGGCTTCAGGGGTGCTGTTGCAGTGCAATCAATTTCATTTTTCCTGCTGCTGTCCGGTGGCCATGATGAAGAAGATGATGACGACAACCACGGTGATGATGATTCTTATGATGAAGATGACGGAGAAAATGGCGATCATGATGACGGTGATGAAGGTTCTGCCGGTGATCCTACGCCCGTACCCTCTATCCTCACCGCTGTTCACCCTGCCAAAACCCCTGAACTCTAGACTTGATCTCCAGGATGAACTAACCTGGCCCACAATCATCCCGAGGCTTCACATCTTCTGGTGTGAGTCCATGTTCAGGACTCAAACTTACTGAAACAGTTCATCAAAAAATGATCTGCAAAGACTCGCAAGCCTTCTTCAAGGTCACACACGCAACCCCATAAGTCGGTAGGTTTCAATAGTTTACACTGCTTCCTGGTCCCCTTCGTGTTGGGTCCCGACGGATCCGACAACTGCCCCCTGGCACCTGCCGCCCGTGGTAGTGCGGGTAGTGCAGAGGCTCCGTCGGCCAGGCACTGGCGGTCCACAGCGCGAAGTAAAGGGTCCAGATTTCCATGGCGCATGACCCAAAAAAGGTATAGATGCTATGGAAACAAAGAGGCTTTGGGCCCTCCAAGTTCAGGCTTTCAGGCTTGGGGTCGAGGGGTTTACGCCTTAGGGCTGAGGTCTTCAGCCGCTTGGGGGTTTCGCGTCGCCTGAGTGGTCCGGAGCCTCGGGCTGGAGGCAGACGAGCTTCATTGTTCTTGTTCGTATTTATCATCATCATCATCATCAATATTATTATTATTACTACTATTGTTATAACTGTTACAATTATTGCTATCATTATCATGATTATTATCATTCCTGCGACCACTATTTACTAATTTTATTGTGATTATGTTTATTGTTGTTTTTTTAATGAGGCTTGGTCGACATGCGGTCAGCCAAGTTTCAGATACATGATTTTTAAGGCCCAGTGCTCAGGCTCACGGATACTCTAGCTGGCCAAACGAAGGGAGTGGGTTCCGGTAGTCACGATCAGTGCTTTGTGTGTGGGCTTTCAGGGAAAGGGTGTCAAGGGTGTCAGCTATGGGCCGTGCCGACAGAGCGATGCAGATGCATGGCTTCGTTGAACACTCCGAGCTTCACTCAGGCCAAACACGAACCAGCTGCTCCACGTTGAACACCACAACAGCTTTTTTTTCGTAGCTGTCGTTTGACTCTACAACCTCGGAGCAGTCGAGGATTCTCAGACTGCTCCAGTAGGTGAAACATGACTGCTTGTGATACTAGGCGCCGTGCGCCGAACTATTCTGCCATGTCCTGCTACCTATCCAGAGTGGGCCCTCTGACCTTGCTGCCGCCGGCGACCGGCGAATTTTGAACAGGGAATGTGAGGTGCCACAAAAATCAGAATGCTCTTGGGTTTGCATGTTTGGGGTGCTCCAAGAGCGTCTTCGAGTTGGATACAAGGTTCGGCCGCTCAGAGCCCCCGAAACCCTGCCCTAAACCCAAGTTTGCTGCATGTTCAGATGGAAAGAGACGGCACCCGGCTCGTGCTTGGGGCTGTAGAACGCCGGCCCAGGAGCCCCGCTCCTTGGGTCTCAGGGCTTTATAGGTTGGGCTTTATGGCTCAGGGGTTCAGAGTCCAGGGTTGAGGGTTTCGCTTCTTCTTCTTCTTCTCGATTTGTGTGTTGAGGACTTTAAGGTTAAGAGAACTCTTCCTTTCTGTAATTTGTGACATACACCAGACCAGGGCACTGACGCGTGTCTGTGGTCTTTCCTTGATTGGACTTGCTTTTGGAGCCCTTCACTGATGACTATCATGCATCTTCCCCCTGCTTTTCTGCAACAGTATATACAGGGCAAGTACCTATCTCAAAAACAACCTTCTACCTGAAATCTCATGACGTCCCTTACATCTGCCAAGAAATAATCCCTTTGGCTTCGGTGATGTCGGCCCAGGCGCCCCTGCTGCTTCGCGAAGCGCTCGGAGCTGGAGGCCAAGGTGCTCAGAGGCCAGGGCGCGTCGCGCGGCCGCGCCTGGCCGATGGGCGGCACGTAGTCCGTCGGACCCGGCCCGGGCTGGCGCCATTTCCTGGGAGGGCTCAGAAGGCTTCTGCAGAGATTGGGATAAGGCACTCTTGGCAGGCATCCGCTAGAAATTCGGGTTCGAGGCCATCTGCCCATCCCTATCGGCCCTATCGTCCTTGGGAGGTGCGAGTTGCCGATGTGGAAGGAGCTGTGCCCCCGAGCATTGAATTGCTTAGGACCTCGAACCGCCTCCAGCCGTGGGGTGTATTGACCAGGCCCAGGCGAGCTCACGTCCTCACTTGTGTTGCTCTTCAGAATCTCTTCCCCACGCCTCAGCTTCAGCGTTTCCAGATCTGTCAGTGGCTCTGGCCTCGGACTCAGCTGTTTCTGGCTGGGTCGAGTGCTCCTCAGTCTCTCCTCTCCGTCTATCTGATCATACTGCCCAGGTCCGGGAAGGTCTGGATCCCTTACCTGCTGCGTGGCACGCGGGCTGCTGCCGAAGACTGCACGAGCACCTTGACAGCCGATGGGTGGCACCGCATCGTCGGGGCCCAGGTAGCTCGCAGGGCCGGGTTCCGTCTCGACCACGTTGAACTTCGCAGGGTTGCCTGGGCCCGGGAGAGAGAAGGCCGCTGTTGGCGAGGAGTCGCGCTGCACATCTCGCATGATGTATGTCCCTGGACCTGGTGGCACATAACCGTGCTGCTTGGAGGGGTGTACCAGCCTAGGTGTCCTCGATGCAAAAGTACCCCGGCCGCGCAGGGCCACCTGCGATACGGAGGACGAGGTGCTCGTTGAAGTCTTCGTGGACTCCTCTAATTCTTGGATCACGAGATCTCCAGCATAAGCTCCCGGACCTGGCACGACTTCGGCCATAGCCCTTGTCTGCGCAGTTCGCGTGGTGCTGCATGAGAATCCGCGCTTCTCCCTGTTCTTCCGGTAAAGCACGGTCTGGTACTTGGTCGGCATGCTACTCGGCGTCGCGGGATCCACATCCTTTATGTAGACCGGGATCCGTTTCTTGATCACGCCGCCATTCCCACGACCGATTGACCGAAAGTTCGCCTTGTCGGGCGGTTCAACTTCGAAACCTGGCCCTCTCAAAGGCAGCCCTGCCTTCGAGGCCATGGCACATGGAAGCCGCTCTCTAGCGCGGCTCGACACCCGGAGCCAAGAGCCGCCACATGAGCCGGATTGCAACAGCCGGCCCTTCAAAAGCCCTTATAGGCCCCCCAAACCCTAAACCCTTCAAAGGCCCCTAAACCCCAAACCTAAAAAAGGGGCCTCTCTGACCTCGAACAAGGCCCGAAGCCTCTAAACGCGGATTCATCCTAAACCTTGTGCCGGAATAGCTGGCCCTGAACCCGAATTCAAAAGCTTGAAACCCCAAATCCTTACATCCTTACCCCGAAACATTCAGCCCAGCCCCGCCAGCTCTGAAGGCCCGAATAGCTCCGAAGGCCGAACGCGAGCAGCCAGAAACCCGAATCCCCTACCGAGGCTCGAAAGCCCTGGTTTTACGTTCTAGGGTTCAGGATCGAGTTTCGGCGCTCGCGCTCGGACAATTAAAGGCGAGGCAAGGAGGGTATAGTTTAGGGCTTTCAGGTCTAGGACTTTAGGGTTTACACACGCAGGGTGTAGCAACGTGTAGCATGGTGTAGCGGAGAGTTTGAAGATGTAATGGTCTAGTTCTACGCTTGGGCCGCTTGGGTGGTGCAAGTGCTTACAGTGGTTTTTTTTCTTGGCCCCGGGCTCAGGGCTTTGAGTCCGGGATTTGGTGTCACTCCGGACTACAAGCACCAAGTCTGCTGCATACGTTACCCTAAACCCTAAACCCTAAACCCTAAACTCTAAACCCTAAATACCCTAAACCCTAAACAGACCTAGAACAGCAAAGCCGCAGAAGATCTACGGATTTAGGGTTTAGACAGAACCCTGCCGCACGAAGAGTCCTCAACAGAAGGTACCCAAAAAAGGAACCTGATTCAGAAACCTTGAGTCTTTGCTAGGGCTCTTTATATATGGACCGTCAAGTTTTAATGTCAAAAAACCCAGGGTTCCTCAATTCCTAGACTAAGTAGACGAGGAAGGGAGCTGCGCCTCCCTGATCCCCAGATCCTTCCGACTTCCGAGCCCCAAGCTCTTTCCACTCCGGCTGGAGCCTAGATGAACCATCCCAAATCCTAGAGCCTTTCAAAAAAAAGCAGCAAGAAGCCGTTAAAAAAAAAAAGAGCCTGAACCCTCGATTCTCCTTAATCCTGAACCCTGAAACTGCTACAGCCTGAACCCTGACCCTAAACTCGTAATCCTGGATCCAGAACCGAATCCAAAACCCTGCAAACCCCGTGGCACGTTCTGTCCTCCAGCCGCCGACACCTGGGGCTTTGGGAAGTCTGACTTTCCGGTAGGACCTAGGTTGGAGGAGGTGAGACCATCCCTCGAAGTGTTTGGGGTTTGGGGTTGTGTGACATGATGGCATGAGTACCATTTGGGGTCTCGCTTTATGGTCTCAGCCTGCAGCCGAAAAGTCCGTTTTGGGTCGAGCCTCTAAACTTCCGTCTTCACCGGGCCATGATCTGGAACAGGCACCAAGAGCTGGTTAAGGGCTAGGAAGGGCTGGGGCTTTGGGGTTTGAGGTTTTGGGTTTTCCAGGAGGCCGTCTGGCTTCCAGAATATACAGATCCCCAATGTAGTAAGGTAGCAAGGCCGTTGCTATGCGGACCACTAGGCAAGAGTCCCTGAACCCAGGACAGAAGGGTGCGCCTGGTCTCAGTAGCAGCTTCGATAATCGAGGAGGTCTTGGGAAACTCGAAGCCCATGCGCCCACCCTCTGCTTGCACCACGCATGGATGCAACCTCCTCCAGCGCCTTAACCTAAGACCTAAACCCTACACAAGCCCTGACAGAAAGCCTCTTCTTTGACACGAACTTGTCTCGCCGTCCAACGCCTCTGGTTTCACTTCGGTGCGGCCTCTACAACTCCAGCGCAGCCCCGGGAGAGCCTCCCTCTCAAGCCGTTGGGCGTAAAAAAAGCCGCGTCCATGATTAGAATAGTGCTTTGGTGGATGAAATCTTCTATATCATAAGCAACCAGCCCTAACGAACAGTGCAGTCGTACTGGCTTCTTTTGTTGGGTGGGTTTTCTGCGTCTTTCCGGTTGAGCCGTTCGGTTAAGGCTCAAGCCCACAATCTGCAAACAGACCAAAAGCACAAGGCTGACACGAGCCGAAGGATCAGCTAGACATGGAGCATGCCTTGAGAGGAGGCTCTTGTCGGGGTGGAGGGGTGGAGGCTACGAAGTCTCAGCCTCTCCTTCCTATCATTGAAGAAGGAAAGCGTCAGCCTACCGTGAAACGTTGCCAGGAAGGTGTCCTGACGATGCCCCTGAAAGGGCTTCGAATGGCTACTTTTCTGGTCAAAGTGCCTCGCTGCTTCTGCTTAGCGCCCAAAAGGCAAGACTCTGTTGATTTTGCCGCCTTGCGGGTTCCCCTACGATGCCCTACAAAGCCTGCAGACCCCAAACACTTTAACGGTAAACCCCAAAACTGACAAAAACTCCAGGCTGCTCCTCCCCGAGAAGCCCGGCATGATGCAGAAAGCTCAATGACTTCGTGCTCGAAGGCTGGTGTCGTAAACCCTAAACTCTAAACCCTGCTTAAAATGCCCGAAGCCAGCAAGCCCTACCACAAAGCCCCCAAATCCCGAAAAGCCAACAAGCCCGGCGGGCGTAGGGTTTAGGTCGAAGGCTTAGGGTTGCGAGTTTTGCAGAAAAGCCATCAATCCGGTCTCCTTCCGCGCGTGCAGGTGGCAATGTCTCATGTCTTGAAGGGCTTAGGGGGTGAAAATAGGACTTTGGAGGCTATTACTATATTATTCCACTAAGGAGCCCTAAGGAACAGTCCTGATAAATATTCAAGATTCTGTAAGATACTGTATTAGGGTGTGGGTGCGGGCTGTTCTGGCTTTGAGGCTCGGGCTTATTGGGTTGTATGAGGATTTGGGCTAGGGTTTCGACTCTGACAGCTCGCACAGGGCAGGCAACCCTAAACCCTAATCTGAATCATGACGATGGCAACAAATCGGAGCAGCTTGACATGAAGACCAGAACCAGTCAAGGGTTTAGGGTTTAGGGTTAATGGCTTTCCACTTCGCCCGGAGTTGGNNGTTGGAGCAAGCAGCCCTAGCAGCTTCACTGCGGAGCCAGCTTTCGCATCCGCCGATCAACGGCATCTGAAACTATGTTGAACAGGATGACCTTTCCGAACTTATCATGAATCATTTGGTGTGTGCGCTGGACATCATGTATGAGAATGTCGTAGACATCGTGACTGGCATAAACATCGTACAGCAACGCTAGCGAATCCATCTGCACGAACCCGATCCAAGACGAGCAGAATGCAGGGAAATCACCATGGTCGCTGAAAGACCCCAAGTTGTCCATGTATCCAGGTTACGGTAAAAGTGCCGGACTGTGTAATGCACAAGTGAGCACCGACCCTCCATCCCCTTTCGCAGTCGAGGGTTGATGGCTTAGGGCGGCTTAGGGTTTGGGGCTAAGGGTTCGGTTGAGGGCTGGGTTTGGGTGGATGCTTTGGCTCTGCAACCTGGTGGGAAGGAGACCGGATGGGACAGTTTGGGGCCTATCTTATGATACGGGGGTTCGGGGATAGGATCTACGGTTCAGCGGATAAAGGTTTAGGGATTAGGGCTGAGGGCTCTCTGCCTGTATCTAAACCCTTCCTTCTTTACATGTGCTGGGCGCCTACTTAAGCAAAAGCTGTGCAGAAAATGAATGCTTTGCTCACGCCCCTGGCCACGCTCTTTTGCCTCTAAACCTCGATTGAACTAAGTTCGGCCCCACACATTCGGCTTATGGGCGGAATCATGCTTGGGCTACCCCGCACCTGGGATGGACGATCTGCTGAGTTTGACAACCCTACCACCGTTTGGTATGCTTCTGGCCGCCGTAGACGCAGAATCAGAAGGTTTTGGGACTCCGGGGGCTTAGGTTTTAGCATGTGGAGGTTTAGGGTTCTGGGTCTAAACCCTGGAACCATTGTCCTAGCTAGGCGAGAGGCAAAAGAACTCTAAAGAGTCCTTCGCAAGCACGCGGTCTTGAGGGGGATGAATCCCTACTAATACCCAACCCTCGCTCGAGTCTAAGCAGACGGTAGTGAGGCAAACAGCGGCCCAAAGACAAAATTCCACGGACCAAGCCGCAAGTAGACGCTAAACAATTTGGGAGTCCCAAAACCTTCTGATTCTGCGTCTAGGCATAGGCGTGGCCAAGGGTTGCAGGTGGGGGTGAACAACCCGGGTGCTCAGCATCCGGCTCAGTTAACTCCACATGGCAAGCCCACAAGAAGCGGAGTTGAATGTTGCAACGCCAGCGGCGCAGTTTTATTCATTCTCTTGTAGTAAGCCGAACGCGTCTCAGCACACCGTCATACCCCTAAACCCAAAACCTTTGGGCACTGCTCGCTTTGTCCTTTGCGCTTCGGACGCCAACACGAAAACTGCACTCTCTGTCCCAAACCCGAAAACTTCAAACCCCAACCTCTAGGGGCCCAGACCCCTCCAAAACAGCAGCTCCATATAAATCCGTCCGTAGATCCCTCCAGGAGCCGGAGCCCGGGTAGTTCCCAGAGCTCAGGTTCCCAGAGCTCAGGCCAAGAAGGAGTGGCCTTCAAAGACATGCGCCTTGCAAAGGATGTGGGGTTTAGAAAGTCTAGGGACCTACGGCAGCAGAACTCAAGCCAGCGCCGTCAGCATCATTGTCAACATCGTTTAGTCATCGGCATCGTCATTATCCTTTAGACTGCACGTCCGAACCGGCATGCTACGCAAGGTTCGGGCCCCTTCACATTATGTCCCGACATCGTTGTCGTGTGGCGTGGCGTTGGCGGAGTTTCATACGGTCTGCTGGTTCGTGTTGCCGTAGGTTGCGAGATGTTGCGAGGGTTGCTGCCTCCGCCTCCTCCGTGACTACTGCTCGCTGAGTTCTTCCTTCGTGCATTGCTTTTGTTCTTGCTCGGTCTTGCACTGAACGACACCCCGCGTTACAGTTGCAGGACCCAGTCTGTGGAAGAGGCGTTCAGAAAGTTAGGCTCGAGATTTCGGGATGGTCT